CTCACTATTGTCTTCTGAGAAGCAGGGGGATCTGTGTGACTGTGTCTGTGATGCTTTTTACGAAGCCTTAACATCCACTACATATTTCGTGCCATCTTGCCTGCTTTAAACAATTTACCCCCATTCCTTTCTGATGTGGGGCTGACCGCTGACGTTTCCTGCTGGAGTACACACTTTTTCTAGGTGGATTTCTAATCTTTTCCTCTTTTGTCTTTTCTCACTATCCCAGCCAGCAAGGTGACGTTGTCATCAGTAATTTCCCATAAACCCTTTCCTAAAGCAGCAGCTTTTGCTTCCCTATCGATCTGTAGCTTGGTTTGTCTGTGTAACTATCTCCAGAGTCAGCTGATGAGACACGAGAAAATTTGTTTGCAATGATTTATGGTCACTCTTTTGTTTTGTCCCAAACTTTGGCTCTAAGTACGTTTTGGAAGCACCACATCCAAAATTCAAGTATCCTTTCAAGAGCAAGGATTTTACAAATGTACTGTGCATCTTTGGTATAAGTGTATATGGTCTCATTCATTCATTTATTCCTTCCTTCAAAGCAATTTTCTTCCTTCAAAACACTTCAGTCAGCATTCCCCAGGGGCAGACATGCTCTCAGGTGTCAGGGATACAGCAATGAGCAGTTTAGTAACACTGCTTGGCATATGGCAGATGCTTGCTTAATAAATAAGTGTCGAGTGAATTTTTTTTGTGTGTGTTTTTCGGTTTTTTTGTTTGTTTGTTTGTTTTGTGTTAGGTGAATTTTTAAGGAAAACAGACACAATCCTGCCCTGGTGTAATTTATGGTCCACAGGAAACACACTAAGTCTAATGAGTCACCAAACTGGAGTTACAAGGGCCATGGAAACGTGTCTGGAGAATAAACTTATGCAGGAAGTTATAAGAAGCTACCTAGAAAGAAACGTTTCATCTGAGACCACCGGGATGAGGATAAGCGAGGCTGGTGAAGCTGGAGAGATGGAAGGGGGCAGAGACAGAGGAGGCAGCATTCCAGGCAGAGCGCAGAGCACACATGAGACCTGAGTCCGGGGGACTGTGGTGTTTGGAGGGACTGAAGAAAGTCCAGGGTAAGGGGAAAGTGTTCAGGGAGTTTTTACAGTGAAGGAACTGTAAAATATTTTATCTGTGGAGTGGAGGATTGATTTGTGGGAAGAGAGATGATGGGATGCCTTAGGTGTTGACCGTTGGGACAGAGAGCAGATGGATCTGAGAAATGCCTCAGAGGATATTTGATGGGACTGGATAGTTGATGGCCTGTGTGGGGTTAAAAGGGAGGGAGAATCGAGGATGCTTCTTGGGTTGCTGGTGTTAGCACCTGGATAGATGGGTCCATTTTCTGAGTTGAGTAAGGCTGGAGAAAGGGTAAGAGTGTGTGTGTGTGTGTGTGTGTAAATGCATAAGATGTCTAAGTAGGCTTATCCAGTAGGCAACATGGCCTAGATCTGTTTTTGGAGCTCACTAGAGAGAACAGGGCTGGAAGCATACCCTTCTGAGTGCTTGGCCTATAGATGGTGGTGAAGACATGTAGCAGGGCAATCTAGCCCAGGGGGAGTGTGCAGGACGTGACAGACAGTGGGCCAGCATAGCCAGCATCCAGTATGGCAGCAGATGTCTATACCTTCATGGGGACTGCTCCGAATGAATTACTTAGAGATATAAATTCTGGTACATTAATCATCAGGTACTATTGCTAATGCTATTTTAGAGCAAGGATGATTTATGACACTTACTCATTTGCTGATGAAAACAGCCCACTGTTTGTAAATCCAAGCATATACATCGCAGCTATTAGCAGCTCCATTATTACTGGCGTCTTGTTAATGACCAATATTGTCCCAGGCTGATCCACCCCAATCATGCAGTGACTTAATAATAATAAGGCTCCTCTTGATAGCCCTGGGTTCATCTGCATACCTAGAGCTAAACCTGATGACTTAAAACGTAATTTGTAGGCCTGCCATTGCCTATTCCAATTCAGATATCTCAATCAGAATTTAAGCTAACCTTTAAAATTTTAATGTTTTGCTTACAATTTATAAAAAAGCATTGTGCAAAGCAGAAAAGGCGTTCCTCAAAAAAAATGCATAGTCATAAGAAAATAAAGGAAACTTGGGCAAGACCTTTTTAGAAAAAGAGTATTAAATCTAGTCTTTAAAAGGTATGTTATTATTAAAATGTCTTATTCCCCTGATCACGAACATTTCAATTTTAGCTGCTGAATCATCTGAACCCAAGAGACTGGGAGAGTAGATCTTGCTCTCTTCGTGTCTATACGATGTGAATTTTAAAATGCTTTCGAGAATGTCACATGGAGTTTACTAGAAGTATGTTATTTCACAAAACTTCAGGAAAAATTTCCACTTCATATTTTTTGAGTTGGCAGATATTTCAGAGCCTTCCTACCGAAGAAGTGCCATTCTGGGCTGATGTGGTTTTGGGATTTCGAAAGATGACCGAGGCCGAGCTGAGGAAGTTCCCCCGACACGTGTTTGGTCAGGCTTTCACAACCCTGAAGTGCGAAGGGCCCGCCTACCTCCCGTGGCTGGAGAAAAGGTCAGTTGAAACGGCTCTCCGCGGCTTCCTCTCCCTCTCATAGCTGTACGTACTTCTTAGCTGCTCAGAAAATTGTGTACTGAAAACTTACACAGGGTCTCATTGCTCCCAGATGACTAACGCTCTGTAAAGCAACCTGAAGACAGTGTTTGTGTCACAAGGACAAAGTCACACCTGGCCCATCGACAGGCCCGTCTTCTATTTTTAGTGTTGACCCTGATCCTGGATTTGTTCCCGCCTTCCCCAGCCTCAAGTAAAACCCACTTACTGAAACAGTTTCTTAGTTTTCTTCTGTAAAATGGAGAAATTTAGAGAACAGACTTCCTAGTATAAAATTACATAATTCATTCTAGTTCTTCAGATAAGAGAACCCCGTATTTATTATAAATAATTTTTATTTATTTATTTTTTGAGACAGAGCCTCAAGCTGTCGCCCTGGGTAGAGTGCTGTGGCATCACAGCTCACAGCAACCTCCAACTCCTGGGCTTAAACGATTCTCTTGCCTCAGCCTCCCAAGTAGCTGGGACTATAGGCGCCTGCCACAACGCCCAGCTATTTTCTGGTTGTAGGCGTCACTGTTGTTTGGCAGGCTTGGGCTGGATTTGAACCCTCCAACTCTGGTGTATGTGGCTGGCGCCTTAGCTGCTTGAGATACAGGCACTGAGCCAATAATTTTTATTTTTGTATCATTCAAGGTAAAAACAATAGCTTCATTATCCCTCTTGTCATAAATAAGGACTTTAAAACTGCAGTCCCCAAGCCCTGGGTAGGAGGCTGGTCCAGGGTCTGTTAGGAGCTGGGTCACACAGCAGGAGATGAGCAGCAGGAGAGACAGGGAAGCTTTCTCTGTGTTTGTAGCTGCCCCCTTCAGATCTGCCATGATATTTGATTCTCCCGAATCACTGCCTGAGCTCTGCCTCCCTCAGATCAGCCATGATATTCGATTCTCATAGGAGCCCAAACCCTGCTGTGAACTGCACATACGAGGGATCGAGGTTGCAGGCTCCTCATGAGAATCTGGTGCCTGAAGTTCTGAGGTGGAGCTGAGGTGGTGATGCCAGCACTGGGGAGCAGCTGCAAATACAGATTCTCATCAGCAGAGAGCTATGACTGCACAGAGACCGTAATAAGTCAGTTGCTTGTGGACTTATATCAAAACCATCCTCTCTTCATCCCCCAGTCTGTGGAAAAATTATCTTCCATAAAACTGGTCCTTGGTGCCAAAAAGGTTGGAGACCGTTGCTCTAAAGCCAAGGACTTAGCCAAAGCATGTAATTTCTTCCTCGCTAAGTTCAGCCTATAAAACCTTGAACTTGCATTTTAGCTTGGTTTCAGAACTTTCTGTTTCTAATTAGTTAGGAAACACATCAAGAGGATCCTTATTTGAAAAACATCAGTAAATCTGTCATTAGCTGGGTGCGGTGGCTCACACCTGTAATCCTAGCCCTCTGGGAGGCCGAAGAGGGTGGATCGCCTGAGCTCAGATTCCAGACAAGACTGAGCAAGAGTGAGACCTTGTCTATAAAAACATCTGGGTGTTGTGGCTAGTGCCGGTAGTGTCAGCTACTTGGGAGACTGAGGCAAGAGAATCACTTGAGTCCAAGAGTTTGAGGTTGCTGAGAGCTGTGATGCCACAGCACTCTACCGAGGGTGACAAAGTAAGATTCTTGACTTAAAAAAAAAATCTGTCTTTAGTTTAGTCTGGACACTGCAGGCATATTGAGGACTGTGAAACCCTGGCCCTTCAATTCTCTAATCTGTATCTTTAATAGATAAACAGCAACAATGTGAATTACTGTGTAAATGTTAGAAAAGTGACAATCAGCCGCAATGATGATCTATTCCCAGATGTAAGTTGTGGGACAACTGGTGCATACAATTTATTGATTACACAGTTCTTTGTTGGACACCTGCTGTGTATACCTGGTACTACACTGGAATCTGGTCAACAAAGAAGGGTAAAATATGATTGCTATTTTAAAGAAATTCATGGTTTATTAGGAGTGATTGCATGTGTGTATGTCTGTATGCATTAATGAATCATTACGGTGACACAGATGGGAAAGGGGAAGTACAGATTTATGCAGGTTGGAACGGGAGCACAGGGGAGGAGCCTAACTGCTGGGCGCATGTCGGTGACACCATGATATACCTCTGTAGCTTTTTAAGTGCTCTTCTCAATTTCACTTCTTAGCAGTTTAGACAGGACATTTTGCTTTTAAGTTCCACTTTCATAGAACCCATGCTTTTGTGCCTTTTTCACTGACCCATAAACCACTGTTTGTATGCTAAATGTGGACCTGGATATCTCACCAAAATGATGGTGTTTGCTCTTTTTGGTGATGGCAACAAGGGTAGCAGAGAATACTGTGTGCGGGGCAGTAGCACTGGGGGCTTCTATTAGGGCTTGGGCAGTTGGTCTGAGGCAGGGGCAGAGAGGAACTTGCTCTTCACAACCCACCTGCTAGATGGACTAAGGGTGCAAGGCTGTTCCCCTCCATGACCACTTTGCCTGTGGAAATCCAGGGCCTCATCTATACCCACCTCCTCCACAGGGCCAGCGGCTGCTCCATGCTTGAGTGGGCCCTAGGCTGAGTAACATGAGTCCATGGAGTGGACAAGGCAGGGATGGACTTTCCGAGAAGTGTGAAATAGAATGTAATTTTCTTTATTGGTGTATGCATTGCGAGGGCGTGAGTGAGGAGCGTGGTCATCAGATGAGATACCTTTGTCAGGTCAAAATCAGACTGTGTCTGTTTAGTTGCTTTGCAAACCTAACATATACAGTAGAACCTCCACAGTTGACCACTTCCCTGTGTTGACCTGATTTTCATAAACCGGTATGCACATGTCAGTACAGCAGGCCTAGTTCCTTATAATGACCACCTTGTATGTTGACTGGTTTGTTACAGTCCCTTGGACGGTCAACTTACAGAGGTTCTACTGTATTTTTAAATTCTAACTATTATAAGCTGTTATGTTAGGTATAGCTACATTGACGGTCATCCTGAAGAAACAGTAGATTTTTTTTTTAATGAATCTGTATGCATAGTACTATTTGCCAACTGAGGCTTTAAATTAGTTTTCTTTTTTTTTTTTCAAACAAGTAGACTGAATCAGTTTATTTTCTGACCACTGTTAATAAGGCATCCTTCTTCAGGTTTGAAACAGAGTAATTTTAAAAACTGACTATATTGAATAATGCACGATAATATATCCTACTGCTGTGTCTAATAAATTCTTTATGTAAAGTATCACGCAGACACAACCTGGCCCCTGGTCCCTGAGCACCCCCAGCCCCACGCCCGGCCACTGCTCTCTTCTCACTGTTTCTCTCCTCTCAAAAACTCACTGCTGTTTTCCTCATTCCAACTAACTTGAAAAGGCAGATGCCCGCTTCGTAGCCTGACGACCTTCCTGGATAACAGCAGAGCTGGGTTCCCTGCAGAGGTGGGGCGAAGTGTTTCCTTCCCAGCTCTGAACCCCCAGCTTCAAGGCAGCTCTGCTCAGAATTGCTGCCCCCTGCCTTGGGCCCTCGCCCTCAGCCTGGAGAGCCCGCAGGGGAAGGAACGCCTTCCTGCCCCCCCCCTCCCTTCTGCCTCCTAGCCGAGGCACAGTGTCCAAAACAACTCGGCCTTCACACGGGCATTTACCTTCCCACCCTAAAGTGGTCTTAGATGCTACAAGAGAGGTCCAGAAATTATAAATTTTAAATGAAAAAACAATTGTTCACCCTCTAGTTTCTACTCATTAAGTTCCAAAGACAACTGGGGTCCAAGTTTCAGCAAGTGACTCACAGGCCCATACAGGCTCCAGGGCATGTGTTGGCTCTGCTGGTTTAGTTGCCTGTCGCAGGCCGTGCTGCGTCCCTGCTGAGCTGTACTCTCCCTCCTGCCCTGTCTTCCCACTCCCCTCTCCCTTGGTTCCCACAGCCCCACCAGGCTGCTTTGCAGCCCCTGCCAGATTGGTGCCCATGGTCTATCGCATTGCACTGGAGCTCCTCAGAGGCTCACCATCCCCTGTGCCCCTGCTGCCCGTGGGGAATTCACGCCAGAGCCCTCACCTCTCAGTTTAGTGCTACTCAGGGTTCCTCTCTCATCAAGGCTTCAGCTGGGGAAGAGAATGGGGAATGGGGCACAGGAATTGCCTCTAACTCCAAGAGCAGAGAGGAGATGAGCGGACCTCCTCTTTGCTAGTGGGAGGTGGACTGTATGTGTGAGGTGTGTAAAGAAGTGCTTAGCAGACTCCCGTCCTTCTCAGGGGCACAGGCAACTCAATGTCTCTCCTTGCTGAAATTCCCATTGAGTTGAAAGAAGGGCCCAAAGATGACCACCCCCATGTGGTCATGGGTCAGCCTGATGTAGACCAGCAGAGGGTTGACTTCAGTTTGGGGAAAACGGGCACTCTTATATTTTAGGGTGATGAGGACATTGAGCTGGGGCTATTTCATGAGCCCAGCTTCTTGAGAGCCCTTGTCCCCCATTTTCTCACAGGAAGTTGGGACAATAGTACTCTCTCCAGGATGAAGTCTTGCTTAGTTGCCAGAAATCCCAAAAGAAAAGTCACCAGGCTTTTTATAATCCCAATTACATCACCCCAGACTTCGAGAATAACTACCTCATGTGGTCATAAAAGCAGCACTGTAGGCACCTGGTCATCTAATTTAACACCAGCTTCTGGGAAGAGTTTCCTGGTGTGTACTGTGTCACCGTGGTGCACTGCCCAGTGACTGGGCGTCACCTTTTGCATTGCAGTGGCATAAAGCTGACCAGTCTCAGGGCACATTCAGTATGTTTTCTTTTGGGGAACAAGGCCTGGGAGGGATCCAGTGCAACAAGGCCTGGCGAGGCCTTCCAACAGCCCCAGCACTGGGAGGAGTTAAGTCTCCAGGTACAGCTTGGAATTCCATCACTAGCTGGGCCAGCAGGGTACTCTTAAAATGGACAAGGAAGACATTTGCATCTATTGAATTCTCACATGTTATAATTGTCCTAACAATCCTGTGAGGTAGGCATTCTCATCCCTAGCTTATAGGTGAAGAAACAAGTTCAGTGAGTTTTCAGTAAGAAACTTGCTTAAATCCCAAGGCTGGTAAGTTCTCTTCTTTTGCTGAATTAGGAAAATAATTCTGAGTTTTAATTAGGATGGTAGAACATAATGTTCAAATATTAGCACATGGAATCCACACTCTATTAAAGGAAAAGCAAAACCAAGACGATGTTCACAGAATGATTAATTTTTAAAAAGTTTTTAATTAAAGTGTCACTCTTAATTAAATGTAGGTGATGGATGGGCGTGGAGAGCAGGCATACTCAGAGATGAAGCACTGGAAGCCCCCAAATTTATAAAAATCCTTTATTGAACAACTGTAATGTGCTCTGTGCATCTGTCAGGCTTTTTCCAGATGTTGCCTCCTTTCATTTTCACGATGAGCCTGTGAAACCAGTATTATAATCCCCAGATCAGAGATTGAAGGATTGAAGCTTAGAGACGTTGAATAACTTGGCCGAAATTATATGAGTGGTAAAGGTCGAGCACTCCTAAACCCTTTACAAACATCTTTTCTTAGTGTTCACTTTTTTAAAGATTATAAACACACCGCAATATGTTGTTCAGAATCACCACAATGTCCTCTTCTTTCTATGCCAGTGCTGGGGAAAACACTTTTTTTACAGAGTTATTTTACCTTTAAAAACATTCATCTGGGCTTGGCGCCTATAGCTCAACCGGCTAAGGCACCAGCCACGTACACCTAAGGTGGTGGGTTCGAATCCCCAGCCCGGACCCGCCAAACAACAATGGCGGCTGCAACCAAAAAATAGCCGGGCGTTGTGGCGGGCGCCTGTGGTCCCAGCCACTTGGGAGGCGGAGGCAGGAGACTCGCTTGAGCCCAGGAGTTGGAGGTTGCTGTGAGCTGTAATGCCACAGCACTCTACCCAGGGGGACAGCTTGAGGCTCTGTCTCAAAAAAAAAAACATTCATCTGTTATTTAAAGTACACAGTTTAGTCTTTCAAATTGTTCATTCTACTAAGAGAGATAAAAACTTGTGACCATAAAATTGGCTACTTTTTTTTTTTTTTGAGGCAGAGTCTTACTCTGTCAACCTGGGTAGAGTGCTGTGGTGTCATAGCTCACAGCAACTTCAAACTCCAGGGTTCAAGTGACCCTCCTCACTCAGCCTCCCTGGTATCTGGGACGACCGGCGTGTGCTAACATGACTGGCTGGGTTTTGGTTTTTAGTAGAGATGGGATCTTGCTCTTGCTCAGGGTGGTCTTGAACTCCTGAGCTCAAGCAATCCACCTGCCCCATCCTCCCAGAGTGCTAGCATTACAGGCATGAGACACTGTGCCCAGCCTAAAATTTGGGACATTAAACACTTTTACCTATGAGCTTTTTTACTTAGAAAACAAACAAACAAAATAGTAGCTCCAGCCTCGTTCTCCTTTTTTTAACCTCATGTTATACCAAACTGTAATCCTTTGGCTTTACTGGTTCTCTGTGGCCTTTCTGTATGAATGCTCGCCTGTTTTCCTTAGGTTTCTTTCTCTCAAGTAAAAAACATACTGTCTTTCATGGATGTTCAGAATAACAAGAAAAGCCACATAGAGTAAAAATGCCAGTGCTTAGAATTTAAGCCCTGTTGGGCACGTTAATGCTGGAACCACAACGTAATCGCATGATAAGCTGGTGTAATCTTAAAGCAACAGGTAGCCTGTAAAGCTCTTCTCACCTAGCACAGCGCTTGGCACAGCACAGGCCTTCAGCAAACATTTATTTAATAAGAAATGGATCTGAGGAGATGAGTCAGATGCAGAGAAGTCAGAGAGCCACTGGGACAGCTCCAGGCTGTTGTTTTGCACAATGGGAAACTGAGCTGTCAGTGAAGCTCTCTACCTTTGAGCAGCAATGTTGGTCTCTCCACGCTCAACCTGAAGTGTTTTCTAGAAGTGGGACCCGTGTCAGAAGGCCAGTTTCCTGCTGATCTTGACACAGGTTTCAGTTGACCTTTCCAACCTGGAAGTGGGGTCCCTCCTTGTTATATGAAAATCACATTCTCAGCCACCTCTTATTTGTGCTCTGAAGTTTCTGCCTTTTCTTACGTTTTCCTTCACGTTGAACTTCTGTTTATCTGGCCCTGAAAGCAGATAGAGCTCAGAGATGCTGGCACCACCACGTCTGCTGTCTCTGGCTCCATTACTGATGTCAGCGCATCCCAGTTTCCCCTTGAAACAGGCTGGGATTGCAGCATTCAAAGTGACTGCCAATGTGGTAGCAGCACCGTGTATTTGTCAGGGTTCTCCAGAGAAACTGAACGAGTAGGATACGTGTGTGTGTGTGTGTGTGTGTGTGTGTGTGTGTAGACAAGGAATCCACCCACACAGCCGTGGACGCTGACAAGTCCCAAGATCTGCAGGATGAATTGTCAGATAAGTTGGGGACCCAGGAGAGCTGCTAGTGAAGCTCCAGTGCGAGGCTGCAGGCTGGAGACCCAGGAAGAACCAATGCTGTAGTTCTAGTCCCGGGTGGAAGGCTGTCCAGCAGGGGCTTCTCTTACTGGGGAGGGGCAGCCTTGGTTCTAGTCAGGCTTTTGATTGATTGGACAAGTCCCACCCATGTTAGGGAGGGCAATCTGCTCTACTCAGTCTACTGATTTACATGTTGATCTCATTCAAAAACACCCTCACAGGAACACCCGGAATAACGTTTGACCAAATACTGGGCACCCTCTTGACCCAGTCAAATTGACACATAAAATTAACCACCATGGGCCCAAAGTAGGATTTCAATTTCATCTGTCTTCACTGTTGGCTAATATTTACTTCAAGTCCACTAGATTATGGGGCCTGAGCTAGGCCATAGGGGCAGTAAGAAGCATAAGGTATGGTGTCTTCCCTGGAGGAATTTATGATTTTTTGCTATCAGTCCCCTAAAATTTATTGTGCTTAATAGCTTTCAAAGTAGTGGCCATTATCTTACTGGAAGCTCATAGCCACCCCCTGGCGAGGGAAGTGTCATCCCCTGGAAGCAAACGAGGAAATGAGACCCAGAGAAGTGAGATGACTTACCCAGGAGTTCAAAGCTAAGGTGGGGACAGAACTGGGACCTACACTCAGGCTTCCCGAGTCTATTCACCTCTCAGGCAGAACTTACTTCAGTCGGCCAGGCCCTCACACCTGTCTGCCGGTTCCTTTGTCAGCCCTTGAGGAAGGAATCTGTGACCCATCCTTCTAGCAGGGCCTTGCAACTGTTGAATAGAGCTGCTGGTAGCCTCTTTCTCATGTTAAATCTTATTAAACTCATAATTAATTATATTAAATTCATATTAAACCTATTAATAAAATTACATGACATGGAGGCTATTGTTTAATGGGGATGGAGTTTCCATTTTGTAAGATTAAAAAAAAGTCCCGGCTGGGTGGTGCCTGTGGCTCAAAGGAGTAGGGCGCTGGCCCCATATGCCAGAGGTGGCGGGTTCAAAATCAGCCCTGGCCAAAAAAAAAAAAGTCCTGGAGGTGGATGGTGGAGGATTGTTGTTCAACAATGTGAGTGTGCTTAAAGCCATTGAGCTGGACACTTAAAAATGGTCCCGATGGCAAAGTTTTATGTTATGCGCATTTTACCACAATTTGTAAAAAGGTTATAGGACCTGGATAATCACAATCCATCTCTGTTCATTATTGATTTATTTGGTCCAAAAAAAAATTACCAGTTACAACTGTCAGTTGCAAATACTTTGTGTTCTCATGTTAACATCCCTGTAGACATAAGTGGGGGGCATGCAACCCCTATACCAACCATTTAGTAAAGAAGGCCAGACCAAGGCAAAGGAACATTCTAGAGTTAACAGTGTAAGACAAAGTGTCCACGGCAGTGGGTTTAGGTGTTAAATGAATGGTATAAACCAGAAATGCTTGCTAAAATACCAGGTCAACTTGGTATTCATTCAGCATCTAGAATGATAGAAGAATTCTATAAAACATAAAAAGGACAAAACATGTAATCTCCTTTGTTTTGATTTTTCAAGCTAGGTTTTTGTTTTGGCTCAACTTTAGGAATCTGCAGTCCCTGAGGATGAGAGGCAGCTGATGGCCTGAGTCTGGCCTGCGTAGGCCGTGGACGTCTTCTTGGGATCTTCCAGATCATGGCTTCATTTTTGTTCCCATGGTCCTGTTCTTCACCTCCAGGGAGTGGCTGAGCCGAGGTTGACTGGAGCTCACCTCATGGTCTTTCTCCTTCAGGGTGAAAGGTAGTGGAGGCCAGATACTCACCCGTCGGATAGAAGACCTGTGGGAGCTTCATCCGTCCTTCGACATCGTGGTCAACTGCACAGGCCTTGGAAGCAGACAGCTTGTGGGAGACGAAACGATCTTCCCCGTGAGGGGCCAAGTGCTGAACGTCCAGGCTCCCTGGGTGAAGCATTTTATCCGAGATGGGAGTGGGCTGATGTATATTTATCCTGGTATGTCCCATGTAACTCTGGGTGGAAGTAGGCAAAAAGGAGACTGGAATCTGTCCCCAGATGCAGAAATGAGCAGAGAGATTTTCACCCGATGTTGTGCTCTGGAGCCCTCTCTTCATGGAGCCTCCAACATGAAGGAGAAGGTGGGCTTGAGGCCCTCCAGGCCAGGCGTGCGGCTGCAGAAAGAGCTCCTAACCCGGGAGGGCCAGAGGCTGCCCGTGGTCCACCACTATGGCCACGGCAGCGGGGGCTTCTCGGTGCACTGGGGCACAGCCCTGGAGGCCGCCAGGCTGGTGAGCGAGTGTGTCCATGCGCTCAGGAGCCCCGCTCCCGTGTCAAAGCTGTAGCTGTCATGAAATGACAGCAATGTCTCCAGACTATTGGTCAAAGCATAATTTTAAGCATCACAGTAAGTTCAAATAACTTTCTCACTGCATGAAATAACTAGACATTTCTTTGTTTCTTAAATTAGAAATAATGCAACATAGATTTAGGAAGTCTAGTACTAATGGCATGGGGCATGGAGCTCTACTTTTGCATGTTAAAAATACTTGTTATAGAGTAAGATTTTTTTTAGATCTAACCTTATAGGGATTTTGACATCTCTTGGCTCATAAATCCACAGGAAGAGAAAATGTGTGGGAAACACTTAAATCACAGTCCACTGCAGAGCTGCCTGTGATCCTCTTTGGTTAGAGCGAGCATTATAATCCTTCTAAGTGAAATCACCTGGTGATCACAAAATGCAGACTTATCACATTTAACTGAAGACAAAATAAGAGTTACTGCTAATGCTGGTGGCAACCTTTGGCTCCCCTCAGCTAGAAAGGATGGTGGAAGACAGAGATGAAGTTGCCCATAGAGGTGGCATCAATTCCCTGTCTGCCTGGGATCAATCACCTATAAAGTGCGTGTTCTGTGACCACAAATGATGGCAGGCTGGCCTGTCGTGCAGTTGACTTTGCCCAAGCATTTTTGAAGACTGAAAAGCCAGAGCAGCTGAAGAACTAATTTACTAATTAAGGTGGACCAACCACGAATGACACAGAAGCGAAGGGCATTCTGCAGGTTGCTAAAGCATGCTGGGGAGAGCCGAGTACATCTCATGACTAAGCGAGCTGGGGCATTTCTAAGGGAAATAAATTTCCCTTGGCTTTTTGCCTCAGGCCCGCTCAGAGCCTTTAGTAATTCATGTGTGTTGTGACTCCTGAGGAGGTTTTTGGCTTGTGAATGGGAAAGAGGACAGACTTCACTGAGGTCAGAAGGCCTGAGGAGAAATGGGCTTCCTTTTAATTTTTGGAAGTGATGACTTGTATTTAGAGATAATAGGTCCTATTTTGGACATCCTGGGTGAAATGTGGGATTGGCAATGGAAATGGGAAAGAAAGCTCCCGGCCAGCGCTGGATTTACCGTCTGGGTCAGTGAGTCTTAGCAGATGATTCTGCAGGAAGAGAACATTCTGCTGATAGAGAGGGAGAGAGGCATGCCAGCATATTAGATGATCTTTATCACTCCTTGCGTTATTGAAATTGTCAAGTTAAATCAAGTGTGGGAGCTGTTCTATAGATTTCCACCAGGGGGTGGTGTTGTATCAAATTCAGATAAACTGGTACACGTGAAAATATATTAATAGACATGACTAGAAATAAAAAATGGATACCAGGTGCGCAGAGTGGTGTGTGATTCTTTTGAGGTTTTGGAGCTTATAAGCTCCCGAGTCAATTATTCTGGATTCTGTTTAAAGCATTTGTACAATGTGAAAGTTCAGGTAGCCTGAAAACACAAATGCCATATCACATAATCCATGAGAACAAATATGTTATGCTAAAAGGGTATTTGGAAGGGGGGAAACAAAAATTTTAATAGTTAAAAATAAAGGAAAGACGGCTCAGAATGGGCACGCTTTCATTGGTTTCACAGTGGGTTTCTTTTTTTTTTTTTTGAGACGGAGCCTCAAGCTGTCCCCCTGGGTAGAGAACCGTGGCATCACACTCACAGCAACCTCCAACTCCTGGGCTCAAGCGAGTCTCCTGCCTCAGCCTCCCAAGTAGCTGGGACTATAGGCGCCCGCCACAACGCCTGGCCATTTTTTGGTTGCAGCCATCATTGTTGTTTGGCGGGCCCGGGCTGGGGATTCGAACCCGCCACCTTAGGTGTATATGGCTGGCGCCTTAGCCGCTTGAGCCACAGGCACCGAGCCCACAGTGGGTTTCAATGTACCGCTTCCTTATCGTCGTGGTTTTAATGTTGCTTGGTGTGGGAGGCTCACCCTCTAAGACTTTTGCCTGTTTGCCACTCCAGTTTAGATTCACTCTGCATTTTATATTTCAAAAGCTCAGCCCTGCAAGACTACAAGGTCGGAGGCTTCTCGAAGAAGTGGTTATGGCTGCATGCCCTGATTTCATTTTCACTAATTGCTAAATATTTGCTTCCGGTGTTTCTCAAAAGTTGTTTATTTATTTATTTACTTTTCCACGGTTATTTATTTTGATCAGTATCTGCCGATCCAGGCTATACCTTAGGACCCTCTGGGAAGTTCTGAAGCAGTATCAATGCCCAGCCCTGCTTAATGAAATTAGACTCTCTCTCTGTGGGTGGGGTGGAGCTATGGCATCAAAGCTAAGGGTTCTAAGTTTCAGCCCCTGCTGAGAACCACTGCCCACTGTTTCCCTTTTCTCCTTAGGGGCCTCTGCTGCTACCATAACCACAACCCATCCCTTCCTTTTTGTCATGTTAGTGCATTGAGCTAAGAGGGATGTGCTCACTTAAGTACGTGTCCTTAGGCACTTCTGGGCAAGGTGGCCTGTAAGAATTAGCTGTCTCCCAAAGTGGCTTTCTAGAAAAGCTGGGAACACCTTTCTGCCCAGAGATAGCTGTCTGTCATTGTCTGAAAACTGAGAGACTGAATTTACAAATGGACAATGGCCAAACCATACAAAAATAGAACTCTGATCCACAACGTGCAGCGGCTTGCCCACAAAACCAATCCCTTTTTCTACAATAAACAACACAGGAAGCTAGCCTGCTATATGTTAGACTTACAGGAGGCCAGATTGCTCTCTCTACCATTATTAAGCCACCTACACAATAACGTCTATTACAATTGGCACAAAATGGCCAGGACTTGATTAATAACTTACAGCTTCCCTAATTTTCCCCTACTTTTAACTTTAGATCAACCAAAGAAAGCAAAATAGGTATCACTAACCAGTCACATAGGATCCCCTGCTACTAGTTAACCCACCTCCATCTTCTCATGCCGACAATCTCCAATCAGGGCGTAGCTGAAGTCTTGTCTTTTTCCTACTGTAAAGTCCTCCCACTCCTCTATTTTTGAGTTTCTGCCAAACGCAAGTGATGGTGGCTGTTTCCCTTGCTACAGCAAAATATAAAGAAAAAGTGTTTTTCCCATTTGGCTGGTGTATTAGTCAGGGTTCAGAGAAACAAAACCAAGAGGGTATAGATAGAGATTTATTATGAGGGGTTGGCTCACAGGATGATGGAGGCTGAGAAGTCCCATGATCTGCTGTCTGCAAGCCGGAGGTTCAGGAAAGCCAATGGTGTAGCTTTGGTCAAAACCTGAAGGCCTGAGAATGGAGTAAGTCCCAGTGTGAGTCTGAAGGGGAGGAGGGCTGATCTCCAAGGGCAGAAGAAGACACGTGTCGCAGCTCAGGCAGAGAACACATTTGTCCTTTTTCACCTTTCTGTTCTTATCAGGCCTCCAGGCCCTCAACGCACTGGATGATGATGATGCCACATCAGTGAGGACAATTTTCCTTACCTGGCTTATTGGTGCAAATGCTTATCTCTTCCAGACATACCCTCATGGACACACCCAGAGATGATGTGGTGCCAGCTATCTGGGCACCCTTTACCCAGTCAAGTTGCCTTATAAAATTAGCCTGGACAGCTGGTCCTTGTTTATTTCTACAAAGATTTTATGTTTACATAAGTCGAGGACCTCCTCAGTGATCTGTGCCTGAGAAGGGACTACCTTTGTTATTTTTCTTTCTTGTTTTCTATTTCAGAACATCTTTTATTATTTTTTTTTTCTGAACATGGAGAACAACCGAGCTCCTTCTCAAATCCCCGCTTTTAAGAGTGTGGCCTTTCTGGCTGAGTCTGTGCCTGCTGTGCCTGTGACCCGGGGGAGTGAGGCTGCTTTGAGGCCCTGTCATTGCCAGCATGGTGCTTCTGCAGCACACAAAGGTTGTGCACAAACTTTTAGGATTTTTTTTTTTTAACTTCTAGGATATTTGCTTAGGAGGAAAAAAGGTTAAACAGAAAAGTCACAGCCCAGCTGGACACAGTTGTACAATAGAAAAGCTATTTTAAAAAATGACATATACTTTCTTTTCTTGAATAGATGCATTCAAATCAACTGATATTCAAACAAGTTTTTCTCAATCAATTAAAAGCTTCTGGAGAGAAGGAACAAAAGAGCGGTGGGACCTTTATCTGCTGGGAGTTCAGTTCTTGGACTCTCACAACTTGTCAAATACTTGCAATGTATATAGAGCTCACGGTATTTTTTTTCTCAATTTCTCTCATCTTTCTTCTTGAAGATGTGAATGATGGAGACACATTTGAAACCTGTTTCCTCAGGATATCATTTACTCAAGAAAAGCCAATTGAATGTTTCTTCTTGAAAAATCTTAGCCCTTTGCCACCAGGCCTGGGGGCTTTATTATCCTAAGTGACTTTGCTGCCTATAAATCATGGGCCTATGTCACCAAAGGGAATAAGTTAACCAGATCCCTTAAAAATATAATCGATATTTCTTCAATTATTAGCAGAACAATTGACTTCCATCTGCTTAGGGCACCTGCCAACCTGGCCTGTAGCCATGATACCCACAATTCCACCTCCCAGAGTCTGTTCCCCTTGATTTATAATTTTTACCCTGGTGCATGTTCTGTGGTGTCAGCCATGCCCAAACTTTTCATGTATCCAAGTATATTCCCTTCTGTACAGAACCAAGTCATCTAGCAATGGAACTCAGCCATTGTGGTCAATACAACAAAATGGTCTGCCTGCTCTGTCTAGACCCCTTTCCTGGGAAATCTGCTCAGACCTAGAGGATTCACTATGTGGGCAGTATCCCCCACACTCTGCCCTTCTGGTCACAGCTTATTGGAAGAAAGGAAATTATCAGTTATGTTTAGCTTCAGTTGCAAGTAATAGAACATCCTCACCCCAAAAAATGGCTTAAACAAGATGGGCACATATTTCTCTCTCATATAAAATTACCCTAGGTATAAGCAGTTAAGGGCTGGTGTAGGGTCTCCAATGGCCATCAGTGACCCAGGCACCTTCCCCATTCACATTCTCCTATTTCAAGGGTGTGGTCCTTGTGCTCAGATCCAAGATGGTGGTCAGAGCTCCAGCCATCACATCATCCCATCCATACCCCCAAAACTTCCTGGAAGACTCACATACTTTATTGTTTATATTTCACTGCAGAGGATTTAAGAGAAGCAAGGAGCAATGTAAAGATCAAGGTTTTAGCAGGTTCTGCTAAAAGTATCAAACTACAAATTGGGTTAAGCCAGTCAGGTTAAGTATTTGTACTAAGAGATTCTAAAACTATTTCGTGGTGATGGCAGGCTCTGGGGAATCCAGGTTGTTCAGACTGATCCAGAGAGAGCCAGGAAAGAGAGAGGAGGAAGAGAGGAGCAGGGATGGAATCCCCCGGGGCCCTGTACTTCTGGTGAAACCCTGAGGATGACTTTGGGTTCTGACCCAGTCCCACTTCTTAGGAGGCCTCACTGGACACTAAAGTCTAGATTCCTCAGAAACCGCATAATTTAAAAAACTGCTTTTTAAAAACTATTGCTTTAGGAAGGTAAAGGAAATGGGAGCTGAAGCATTTTGGATTCCCCCAAACAGAAGTTGGGTTTTTTCTGTAATAATTTCAATAATAATTTTTTTATAGCCAAAGAGTAGAATCTGAGCATCACAGATCAAATCCACCACTTGGTAACTTTTGGCTTTTGCTTAAAAATCTTGTCCCTTCTTTCTTTTCCCATCACCAACTCAGGATATTTTACATATTCGTATTTCCTTTATCATTATTATCATTATTGGCGGGACAGACAAAGTGAAAGCTCCCCAAACAAGGCCCTTGTGTTGCTCAGGCAACAGTTTTTCTTGTATTCTAGACATTATTAGTTCTTAGTCAGGATCAGATTATGTGCTTTAATTAATAAAATTGAGTTATGGTCAATTTATATGGCAAAAAACTCATATTTTAGGAAGAATGCTTGTATTTGATTTCTTGTCCATGGATTCTATGCCACATGTGACCCTCTGGATCCTTGAGTACAGCCTTTTGACTAAACCCAAATTTTATAGAACAAATCCTTTTAGTAAAGGGATTTGTTCTGTGAAGTTTGGATTCAGTTAAGGAGTTGTACTTGAGGATCTGAAAGACCACATGTGGCCTTGAGGCTGCAGGTTCCCCACCCCAGCACGGGGAAATATTTTATCACAATCTCTTTTCCTCCTTCAGCCCATTTAAGTGAATTCTCTCCCTTCAACTCAAAACCTTTGTCTAAGTGAGTTTATAAAAAACAAGTAGAAAGCTGTGATGGGAAAATAGACTTCAGTAATTCACTAGACCAGCAGTCATCAAACTGTTTCTGCAAAAAGATCAGCT